CGCCACGTTCGCCCACACGTCGGCCAACACGCGCCGAGCCACCACGCGACGTGCTCACACGGACGTGTTGCACACGCCACGTGGTGCGCTTCAAGACCAGCGCAGGGCGAAACGGTACTCCAGATTTCGTAATAAAAGGGAGGGGGTCTGGACCCTCCAAGACAAGCTATTTCAGACCTCCCCCGTGGGAGAACCCTCCAAAACATCGTCCCCAGACCCCCCAGGCCCTCCAAGATAGCCTGGAAGAGACCACCCCCCAAATGAGACCCCCCTCCCTTTATTACGAAATCTGGAGTACCCATGTCAGTCCCCCCGATGGTCGGGATCGGCCTCCCTGGCAGCGGGTGATGCGGCTGCTGTTGCCTGTGAGAGATCGGGCGAGACGAGCTCAGCCACCCCGATCCGCAACACGCAACACTTAGCGCGTTGACGCGGAGCCCAACGGGCAGACCGGCACCGCAGGTCGGGCACGATGTCTTCGCCAAAACGTGGGCCAGCCCGTGCCGAACCAACACGCAATGTGTTAACACGGACGTTTTGAGCACGATCACTCTTGTGTTCAACACTGGCGTACCAGGGCAGATCAGCAGACGAGAGGTCTGGCGGCACCAACATGTTGCACACTTCTCGTCGGCTTCCTCATTTATGCACTAGGCTGCGTGCTGTTGCAGATGCGGCGCCACGAGGGAAGAGCGACACATCGCAGTCTTCCTCAACACCCTCAGGGCTGTCTGCACCTCAGTCGCACAAGACCCGGCGTGCAACATCCATGGTGCTGGTCATGGCGTGACGACTGGCTACACCCAATACTATACCTTAATGACCAAACCGATGTCGGGCTCGCAATCGGATGACTCCAAACACACGAACGTAAATCCTAGGATGAGGCTGGCAAGGGCTTCCGTCAGCTTGCGGCGCGCACGAGGGGGCACGGGGAGGAGGGAAGGCCTCTCAGAAGGAAGCTGCTTCTCAGAAGGCGCCAGCCTTACATTTACAGACAAGGCCCACGCCTTTCCAAGAAGCGCTCTCCTTATAAGAAGCCTCCCCCACTCCCCAGAGGCCTCTTGCATGGGTTCCGAGCAGACAGAGTCGGAGGATCGCGCCGCATCGCCGATGCACCGGCCCGGCGGCACACCGTCGACGCGGGCGACGCACCGGCAGCGTCAACGTGGAGGGACGTGGGCTCCACATCGAACCGCATCGGCGATGCGGCGCGATCCTCGGACCCCGACTGCTCCGACCCCGCCCAGGAAACCTGGGGCCTCCCCCCTGCCCCCCTCTGCGCGCGGCCGTGGCAGGACCGCTACGCCATCAGCTGGCCATGTGTCGCACGGCCACGGCCTCGCGCCGCCGCAGCCTCGCCGAGGGGCCCTCTGGCCATCGTGCGAGGGGCTCGCGCGGCGTCGTGTGCAGCTGGGCGGCGCGCCCCGGGCCTCTCAGCAGGCTCGGAAGTTCCCCGGCCTTCTGGAAAGTTGTCTGAGCCTTCCCCGAGCACACAGACAACTTCTCAGAAGGCCGAGCACTTTGCGTTTGGGCCATGCATTGAACCACCACTTCTCGAGCAAGCGTAGTTGAAGACCCTGCACCAAGATCCACGGACTGAGCGTCCACGGTTTGATTCAACGCTTTATTTGCAATGTCTTCCACGGGGATCCGTCTGTGGCCGTGTGCCGTTTAGCAGATGAATGATGCGAACGCCTAGGGTGTTAAGATTCCGACCCTGGATGGCACTGTTTTTGTTGCTGACGGTGCTGATGATAGTGCGGAGGAGAAGGAGGAGGAGGAACAGTTGAAGTGGCGCAGGGGGAACAACAGGACGGTGATGGAGGAGGAATTGGCGAAGGATGTTCCTCCAGTAACTACGTGGCCCACCTACCCCACGAAGGGCAAGGGCCAAACGAGACACCAGAGATATACCCTCTGGATACAGACAACGACCTGTTTCCAACACAGCAGTAGTGGATCATTCCTGAGCCTCTGGAAGGTCTGCTTGGTTAGTTGGTTTGTTGGACCTTTTCCCTTTGCAGCGCAGTGTCCAGCGGAGTCAGGAGGGTTGACTGATCGTCCAGCCTGTCAGCACCGAGAAGGGCATTACGAACATCGCTATCTGTGTGCTGGAGCCCACGGCGATGGCGATGGCGGCGCCCACCTTGGAATTGTAGGCCATCCGCACCTCCGCTCACTGCTGCTGCTGCTGTTGCTAACGCTGCATTCTCGCCCTCAACCTCCTGTTTGGTCAGCCAGTCGTAAGCCCGAAACCGTCGAGTCTAGGCGGGGCGAGCAGCGAACAGCATTCGAATGTTCGTAGGGCATAAGCGAGGGATGAAGAAACGCGCGCCGTTCGTGCACCCTGCGGGGCCGCGGCGGCAGTTCAGGGGCCGTTTGGGCCCACTTTCCTACACTCCTCGGGTGCCCCGCGTTTATTGCCTCCCCCCCGCTGCCGTATTTTAGCACGGGTCCTGAGGGACATGACTCCTGGAACCTGGGGCCTCCCCCCATGCCCAGCTCCGCTCTGAGTCGTTTTCTGCCGTTCCCGGGGCCCCTGGAGGGCCCCGCGAACCCGAGAACGGAGAAACAACACCGCAAGACTCGTCTCCCTCAAGTCCCCCGGCCGGTCCGCCCTCGCTGCCGTGCGCCCATCACGTGCGCACGCAGGAGCGGCACCCGGGCAGGACGAAGACGGGCAACCGATAGCAAGTCACGACGAACGGCACGAAACGCCGCGCGGAGGAGGCGCACGCCGGTCGGAAACAGGGCCTGGCGGCCGCAGGTCTGGTGTGGGGATACGCCTCCTCCTCCTCCTCCTCCTCCTCCTCCTCTTCCTCCTCCTCTTCCTCCTCCTCCTCTTCCTCCTCCTCCTCCTGCGGGTTCAAAGTCAGTTGTCCCACCGGGTAAGACAAAAACCGCGTGGAAGCACTCCTCCTCCCGCTCGTTCTGTCCTTCTCCTCCTCCTTGTCCTCCTCCTCCTCATCGTCCTCGACTTCCTCCTCCTCCTCCCCTTGCCCCTCCTTCTCCTCCTCACCCTTCCTCCTCGACCCAACCTGAGGCGCAACAGGTAATTTCCCCATAGAAGGAGGGGGGTGTTGGCCCCCCCCCCCTCCCCCCCCTTCCCCCGAATGACACATTCTTGGGCCGTCGCGCCGACGCGCCCCGCGAGAGGGATGAGGGGGCAGGAGATAGACGGGAAAACAAGCCAGCGCGACAGCCTCAGCGGCTCGATGACCCGCTCCTCCTCCCTCCCCCTCGTCCTCGTCGTCGTCGTCCTCCTCCTCCAAGTCCTCCACCTCCTCCACCTCCTCCCTCCCCCTCCTCCTCCTCCTCCTCCTCTTCCTCCTCTTCCTCCTCTTCCTGACGCTGACGGCCACGCGGCGGTCTGTCCGCCGTAACCGCAGCGCGCGCCCGCGCCAGCGCCCGCGCCCGCGCCTCGTGACCTATGTCCCACCCTCTACCTCAGCGGGGCGGCTGCGGCAGATGGTGGGTTCCTCTGAAAAAAACAGCCTCTGGACCCAAGACCCCGCCGAGGAAGAGAAGGGAAAAACCGAACGGCCTCAGAGGGCACCTCAAAGGGCCGCGAGGAGGGGAAAGGAGGCGGGGCCCGAGGGGCCTAACGGCAACAAATCCTAAGCCTAGGTCAATTAGCCCCCCGACCACCACCTCCATAATTGAAGACGACCTCCGTCTCGCGCATGCGACGCGGAGGTGCTGGTGGGGGGGGGGCAAATTCTTGTACGCGAACGTGGCCCCCCCAAAAAAAACAGGAAAGAGCCAAGGCGGCAACCGTAAGTAAAAGAGAGGCAGGAACGGGGGGGGGCACATACTACTACAAGGCGGCCGAGCCCCCAGGGAACCCAAGGAAGGGACAAGGGGAAGGCCTCCAGGGCCAAAGAAGGGGGAAGGGGGGGGGGGGGGGGCAGGGATCCGGGGTGGCTCGGCCCCCCTCGAGCGGCCCCCGCGGGGCCAGGTGTCAGAGGTATTTGTCGGCCTCATCCCCCTCGCGGCCGCCTGCGCCCCCGTGGGCATGGGGGCCTGCGCGCCCGCCGCCGGGCGTTCTCGACCCTGTTCTGCATGGAGCTGGTATCTTTGTTGGGCATGTTCGTGGAATTGTCGTAGGGGTCCTTCGCGTGCCCCTCGTATGGGCGTGGGCCCAGGCCGAGGTGGCCTGCTGCTCCGTTCTTCGGTTTGATGTCTCCTTCTTTGGACCGACCCTGCCCCCCGCCCTTCGGCGCCAGCGGTGCTGCGGGGGGGCGGGGGGCTGTCGCCGCCCTTCGGCGCGACGCGCTGCGGTGACAGGCCATCGTGGTCCTCCTCGTCTGCGTTGATCTTCACCACTGTCGCGTTGTACTTGCCGTCGAGGATGCACTGGTCGTGGTTGTGGTCCTTTTCGACGTAGTAGTCCTTCTGGGAATAGCCGTGGTTTCCACCATGCTGGGGCCTACGCTGTCTGATTCCTGTGGCACTGTACGGCGACGCCCGCTCGGCGCTGGTATACTCTGGCAGTCTCGTCTCCGGATGTTGAGTTGACTGCTCATGCTCGCTTTCTTCGTGGCGGCGGTCATAATAAGTCACGAATTCAGTTAGACTGCCTGTCGGTTGTGCGTCGTTGTTGCTGTGTTCGCGTGCTGCCGCCGTGATTCGTGTTGTGTCGTCGTCGGCGTCGCTGGTGTGCTGAAAATGCTTGCTCGTGATCGTGTGGTCAGTCACGGTGGCGAGGTTGTGGCTCTTCAAATGTTGTAGTTCGTGGGGGGCAATGGTCGAGAAAAGTCCGATGTTCATCCAGCAGGCCGTGTCGTTGGCGATGCACGTGTACATGGGGAAGATAGCGTCGCGTATCTTCGCGCTGTCATCCACGATGGTCGTTGAGTCTTTCCTGCTGGGGTCTCTTCTTCCCCACGGGTGTTGCTCGTCGCGAAGTCGTTTGCTGTTGTCGAGGCTCGGTGGTCTTCTTGCAGTAGATGGTGTCGATTGTACCAATCCGTATAGCTTCGTGAATAGCGTTGTTAGTGTAGTCGGAACTTCAGCCGTTGTACGCCTGACTCGTGTGGTTCGCTACAGTAAGTATACGTACTGCTCGTCGGTGTTGTAGGTTTGTTTGCTGCTCGATGCCGTTGACGATGCGCATAGTATCTTCGCTGGTAGCATTCAGGTCGGTGATGATCAGAACCGTCGAAGTTCGATATGGCCTGTCGTTGCCTGCCTCCAATGTGTCACCGTCGGTTGTGTCGTGCCGAGCGTGGCGTGAACGACGATCGCGTGTCTGGGCGCCTTCCGTTTGTCCTCGTCGCTCGCCCTGCTCTTCTTCCGCTTGCGGTGACAAGGGGATTGGTGCATGAATCATCGCGGCACGTTCGTCGTCCGCGCCTGTCCGTTGTGCAAATGGTGGGCCGTAGAGTTGTAGACGCGGCCGTTCTGTGTAATTTTCGGGTAGTCATTTTTTTGTATGTTCGTCGTCTGTGCCTTATCTCCTCGGATAAGTCGTTGACCGCGTCGTCGTTGAGCTGCTTGCTGAACTTCATGGCAAATTATGCACGCGGTCTGCTGGCGCACATGTGCTTATGCAGTCGGTTAACCGCCCAATGCTCCCTCGCGCAGAACTGGCATGTAGTCCCGTGGATGTAATTGAATATATTCTTCCGCTGTCTGTGTCTAGCAGGCATGTGCTGTTGGTGCGCTGCCTTGCCGTTCAGGATTTGCCGGCATCCGTAGCATCGGTACCTTCGATCATGTTGAGGGTCTTCGATGTCGGGCGTCGGGATGGTGGTGCCGTCGCACAAGTCTTCGACGCGCCTTCTCCAGGCGACTGAGGCTGCTGCTTCTTTATTGAGCTCGATGGCTGTCTTGTAGGCATGTGTGGTTATGCTTTTGAATTTGGGTGGTTCTTCTTTTGCCATGCCTAGCCATTGGCGTATGTCGTCGCCGTTGGGCGTATTGTAGTGCTTGCTGGTGTGCACTTTGATGTGGTGGAGGTCGCCTGCTATCGTAGTTGACCATCTGCCTTTGCTCTCGATGTCGTAGTCAAGCAAGGCTCTTAATTCAATAGGGCATGCGTTAGTTATCCGTGAAATCTGCCGTAACCTTGCTTGCCGTAGTCTTTGTGGGAGCGTCGGGATGCCTGCCCCACTGGCGATCTCGATGTTGGTGACCTTCTCCCGCTGAGTTGTCTGATGGTCAATGCCCAATGCCATCCTCGCAACTGCTGTGTATGCAGTGGCGATCCTGTCCGTGCCAGTCGTTTTTTGCAGGTGTCGAGGTCCCTGCATTGTATAGTAGTCGTGAGTATCCTAGGGCATTGCGATAATGTGTCTTAACAGTATTGGTGATCTTGTCGCGCCTGAACACCGTCTTTCGAAGTGGTGTGGTAGCCTCCTTTAGAACAAGTACACGTGCTGCCGCTTCTTGCGTAAACTCGCCCCAATCGCTTACCATTGCGCCCAAGACTTTGAGAGTTCGCGTAATAGTCGCGGTCTTCCCCGTGTCCATGTACTCTTTCTGGTCGATATGCATGTGTCTCGCAATTCATGTTCCTTCTTTGTTGCTGGCGAAGATGAGGCAGTGAGACTTGGTAATGTTAATGGGGGGTCCTCGCGATGTGTCTTTCGTATTCGTATCCCCCCGTGGTTTTGACTGTAGTCTCGATCGCATTGCCGTCGGTGACCGTTGTCGTAGCTTTCACGTCGTCGACGGATGATGTGGTCGTTACATGCTGAGCGTCTGGACTATTGCAGAATACTTGTGAAATGCCTGGTATTCTTACTGTGCGTCCGCTTTGATCGCCTCTTCGTGATAGTCTTTCGTGACTGCAGACGTAAGCGCGTTGAGAGTCAAGTCGGCTATAGGTACTCCTTCCTGGTCGTGTTCCTAGCCTTGGTGCTGCGTAGTCTGAGTCGCGCTCGGTGAAGAACCACGTGTTGCGGCGGGCTTCGGTCAGCATCGAGAGCAAGCTCTTGTTGTCTATGTGGGCACTGATGATGCCGTTGTTGTTCATGAGGGTCTGTGTAGCCAGTAGCGCGCATTGGGGGATATCCATATGGCCGATCAGGTTGTCGATGTCGTCGGTGCTCATCTGCATGTCGTATACCAGGTTCGTAGCTACCCTGTGAAAGGCAGGTTTCAGGTCGATCATGACCATGGTGAGGTTGGTTCCTTCCGCGGCTGCTAGGTTGAAAATCAGTCGCATCATAAGGTGGTTGTAGTCCGTGCTGCAGTGGTTTCGGCCTCCCATCTGAGTACTGAAGAACAACTAGCCCAGGTATCAAGTCCTTCATGCACTGTCGTATGTATCTGTAGTGGTGCTTGATGATGGTGATAGCGAGTGAAATCGATCAGTGGTTTTGTAGCATCTCTTCGGCCCCTTTGCCTTTCCAGAAGTGTGTCGTTCGTGATCCTTTGTGCCACTGCTTCTCGCATGAGCAGTGCAGTCTTTGATAGTAGCGGGCGCATGTGGCGTGCCATCTCTCATGGTGCCGCATGGGCAAGGTCGTCGGTAACTTCGTCAGGTCCTGCAGCTCGTCCGAGTTTGCGCCGTGCCAGTGGTTCTTCCAGCTCGAAGATGCTAGCAACATTGTCGATGCTTCTGACCGTAGTGCTGTCGCAGATGTCGTTGGCGTTGCTGTGCTGCTCTGTGATGTCGGTCTTTGTCATGAAAGCTGCAGCTTCTATGTCGCCGGAGTGGTGGGCGGCTTCCTTGTGCTTCGCTGCCACGCCTGTAATGACCTCGCCATTCTTGTCCACCATCATGGGGCATGTCCGTGCCTTGCGTTGTTTGCGCCCGCCAAACAACAGTAGCTTGCGTACTCGTTTCCGTTCGTTGTATGTCTCGTGGTTGTGCCTCGCACCTGCTGCTCGCGTGGCTTGCTGGTTGATGAACTCGTCGTAGTCGCCGTTGGCCATTCGTGATGGTGTTTTCCGAGTCTGGTTGAGCCACTCCCGTGCAGCAAGGATAAGTCCCTTGACGTCGTTGTTGATGTTAGCCCGCTGTGCTTCGATGGCGAGTCGTGCAAGTCCACTATAGTGCTGGCCAATGTGCTTGGACGGCAAGCGTCTTGTCGGATGTTCAAGTGTGTAGGCTACCCTCATGGCAATTCTTCGGGTAACTCTGTGGTGCTTTGGTCCATGCTGCGCTGCTTTCCGTGGCGGCTTGGCAGTTCGTCGTCGGTCGATGATGAACTCGAAGGTCTGGTCGGAGATGTACTCCTGCATCTTCTTGTGCTGGCGATTGGGGAATGCTGCGGCGGCTGCCCCCGTGATGCCGAGCGCGCAGAAAGTGGCGTGCTGGTCAAGGCTGGTATACCAATCGGGGGCCACGGCAGCTTCGAGCATCTGCTTGAAATTGTTGGTCGCCTCCTCGTCCATCAGCTTTGTTCTATCCATCTTAGGGAACAACTTCTTTTTGGTCCTGGTCGATATTTGGTAAGCCGCTTGTGCTAGCACTGATGTATGATCCTCTCGTGGTTGGTCTGCCTTGGCTGGCTTTTTTAATCGTCTCGGGGTCTGGCATCGTCGAACATGCTGTCACAGCTTTATGTAGTCGTTCGCTTAACATGATGTAGTCTATGCGGTGTCCATGTCCGTGGGCATCCTTCCACGTATGGTGATCTTTACCGTCTGATCTGTGGGTATTGACGATCGGCATGTGCACCGGGGCAGCCAATTCATGTAGCCGCTGTCCATGTTCGGCTTGTTGCTGTTGTAGGCCTGCAGATCCAATCCACTGTGCTGTCGTAGGTCCAACTCGCCCGTTCGCATCGATGAAGATTGCGGACGGGCTGGACTTCGATACTCGCTTGGTTAGGTGCTCCCAGAAATCATTGTGTTCTTTCGCGTTCTTTTTGTATGCGGAGCGTGCGCAACACACACACCATGTGGTCGAAGGCCTTCGCCTGGATCCGCACAATAAGTAGTACCGCAGTTGTAGTTGTGATGTGGACTGCTGATCATAAGGTACCCGTTGCTGGTAGCTGCTCGTCGCTCGTTCCGTCCTTCTTGGATTCCAGTAAGGTGTATTTCGCGATGTTGTAGCTGTCGTCGTATGAGAGGCCCCGCCATTCGTTATTCAATATTCTTGCTCTAATCATCTTTTTCTTGACTGACAACTCAGCTTCTCTGACGCTCTCAACGTTGTAGGTCCTGATGTTGATCTTGATCTCACCTGAGATGTTTGTGTGCTCCGTCGGCGCAAACATGTACTCAGGCTTGGCGTCGCGAGCCGAGTTCCCAGAGATGGGGTTGTCCTGTTTGTCTGGGTATGCGTGTCGATCTCGGCTGTTCTGGTCCAGTGCTTCTCCCATAGCTAATCTTTGCTGGAAGTAATAGCGAATTGGAAGCTCCGCGGCACATTGTTGGTCGGCTTGTTCTTCTCGTGCTTCTTCCGCTCGCGTTTTGATAGACAATCAAGAAGTTCGTTCCACGGCATCCCCTCGTGGCTTGGCACGTGGTGGAGGTCGATGCTGGCGATGGTGCTGGCGCACGCGTATACAAGCTTGAGGTACATGGCGAAGTCATGGTCAGCAGTCGATATCGCCGTGCCGGGGCATATGTCGATGACCGTCTTGCAGTATGTGGAAGATGTTGACGTTGTGCGATTCGTTGGCCGCAATCGTCCACATGACTGTCTGTATTACTGCCATAATCTCGCATGTTGTGTTGGTATATGCGCTGCAATGGAGATCCATCGTATGGCTGTTGCTGACGATGTCGTGCTATGCGCCTCTGAATCTTATCCTCTTCCTCCTCCTCCTCTTCCTCCACCTCCCTCCTCCTCCTCCTCCTCCTCCTCTTCCTCCTCCTCCTCCCTGACCTTTTCTTCTCTGCTTGGGGTCATGCGGCCCGTGGGCCACATCAGGCTGTCCAGACCCTTCCGAGGTCCCCGAAGGGCCTCCCCGAGGGTCCCCCGAGGGTCCCCACGAGGCCCTCCGAGCTCTTTCTCGGGCGCACGCCAACATGGTTAAGGATCCGTGGATCTGGAGCGTGGGTACCGAATCCACGTCCAGGTGGCGTGCTGAACAGCAACATTTAGCGTGAAGGCCCTGACGCAACATAACCCATGTGTCCAAGCAGACATACTATTACATGTCACAGTATGGTGTACTACTCATATTGTTGTCACCTATCCCCATGACGACCCCCACCGGAGCCACGCCCCATCCTCAAACACGTACGACAACCAAAGGAAGTCTATGATTTTGGCTGCTTGAGCTTCTTGAAGATCGCAGAGGCAGGTTAAAGAATGGCCCAAGATGGCTCCAAGACGGCCGAAGAGACCCTGAAAACGGTCCAAGAGGACTCCAAGAGGACCCCAAAGAGTGCCCCCCATAGGCATCAAACGTGTCTTTTCTGGTTATTAAGCATGTTGCAGTTCTCGACTTCTCGGGCTTCAGACACCCCAAGACCGCCTTATATGCCTCCAGGATAATCCCAAGGCGGTCCAAGAAGCTCCTACATAGCCCTAAGACGTCACCGGGAGGCATCCAAAAAGCTCTCAGGAAGGCCCCAACGCACGTGCTCTACACATTCTGAGGGTGCACCCCGCGAAGCGAGAGGGACACAGGGACCCGGCCAAGTACCCCCAACACCATGATGCCAATGCCGCCCCACTCCGGCGACGGCGCTCGCCGATTCGGACCCGAAGCGGAACCGAAGCGGGACCCGCCGCTGATCCACGCGCCTTGGTCCATATCTGCGCCTCCTCGACTTCTGCATCCCCCCTGGAGCCTTCCCACATGCCCCCTCTGGGGAGGCCCGAAGCTGGCCCGCGACCCTTGCCTTCGGTCGGCTATGCCCTTCTGCGGGCGGATTCCGGAAGAACACTTGGACATCGGTAAGCATAATCGACGCTAGTGACAAGAGCAAGCACAAACATTCGTCACCAGACTCTTAGTAGAACTGTTCTTGAATCTGCCATCTGTGCAGGGACATGCCCGACTCAAACCTTGCCGCTCCCCCCCAGCGTCAGCCAGGGACCGACATCTGCCTTGGGGGAGGGCCCCTGGGCTCCGGGCCTCCTCCTCCTCCTCCTCCTCTTCCTTCCCCTCCTCCTCCCGTTCCTCCTCCCGTTCTTCCTCCTCCTCCTCCTCCTCCTCCTCCTCTTCCTCCTCCTCCTCCCTCCTCCTCCTCCCCTCCCCCCTCCCTCCTCCTCCTCCTCCTCCTCCTCCGCTCCTCTCCTCTCCTCCTCCTCTCCTCCTCCTCCTCTCGCTCCTCCTCCTCCCCACCCTCCTCATCCTCCTCCTCCTCCACCTGCTCCTCCACCTCCTCCTCCTCCTCCTCCTCCTCCCCCTCCTCCTCCTCCTCCATCTCTACCTCCTCCTCCCCCTCCCGATCCGCACCGCCGACGCGTGTTCGCAGGCGTTCCCCACGATCGGCAGCAGGACGACGCCGACGAACGGCCGCGGGATGCGCCAGGCTCGGACCAGGCCGTCGACGGCTGGCGGCGCGCGCCAGGGGGTTGGTTTGGTCGGGCGTGTCCTCCTACAGAAGAATATTGGAAGACAAAAGCATATTGAAAACGTGCCCCCAAATAGTCAATCATATGAGAGCACATACTAGAACAATGCCCAACGTCGCCAGACTATTCTCCGACTATTTTGGAATGTCCCTCCTCTAGAGGGACACGCCCGACTTACGGCTGGGCAAGGGGGGCGGCCTTCTCGGGAAAGGGCACCCCGCCTCTCCGAGAGGCCCCCTCCCGCCCCTTGTCAAGAAACCTATAGGCTTCAAGAAGCCTATCTCTCTCAACATATCTGCAGGTCTGTCTGTGTATTCTTTTGTACCAACTTATGCATTTACTTATTTACTCGTAATCCCTGAATAATCGCCCCCTGGGTCCGGTTTTGTAAGTCGCCTTTTTGGGAAGAGGGGGTGTCCGGTTTATTAGGGCAGTTTCTTCAAACAGGAAGTTGGGGGGTCTGGTTTACTAAGGCGCCTTTGCGCACTCGCTATTCTGCTAAACCATATGCGGCTGTTCGCATGCAACTTTGTTTTATTGGCCGGCTTTGCGGATCGTCATCGCCATCGTCATCATCCTTCTCGTAGTTGACATCACAGTATCCATCGCCATAACAATTATGTAGTAACACCGTCGTCATCACCACCATCAACAACATAAGCGTCACAATCACCACCGTCGCCATCAACATCATCACCCATATCTCCGTCATAAGCTTTCATCGTCATTCATCACGGCGGCGGCTTACCTTGGAAAGGTTTTCGTCTCAACCAACCTCAACGCTCGCATCGCAATCCGTTGCCATCGCTTGTGCCATCGCGGCCCACACCGTGACTCGCACGTGCCATTCCGCAGGAGGGGGGGGTCCGGAATATCAGGGCCCCTCGTTGATGGGGAGGTCCGGTTCATCAAGCTGCATCGTAAAGGGGGGGGACCCGTTTTTTGATGTTTTTTTTGTTTTTTGTTTGTTGTTGTTTTTTTGGTGGAGGGGTTACGAGTACTCATCTATTGATGCACGTACCCAGGTATAGGATAAAGAGGCTCCTGCCCCAGGCGGGGCCGAGGCCCTCCTCGAGTTTGCCCAGGAGGAGGAGGCGGAGGAGGAGGAGGAGGAGGAGGAGGAGGAGGAGGGAGGAGGAGGAGGAGGAGGAGGAGGAGGAGGAGGAGGAGGAGAGGAGGAGGAGGAGGAGGAGGAGGAGGAGGAGGAGGAGGATGCGCGAGGCCGGGGTGCGCAGCCCGCGGGCGGCCGGGCGCCAACCGCCGGCCGAGGATGGCCACTGCACTCTCGAGGCCTCCTGGATGGGGTCCGAGTAGATGGGGGTCGAAGGATCGCGCCGCATCGCCAATGCATCGCCGATGTATCGGCGGTGCATCGGCGATGCACCAGCAGTGTCGGTGATGCACTTGCGCCATTGGCGTGGCGAAAGTCGGGCTTGCCGATGCATCGGCGATGCGGCGCGATCCTTCGACCACGTCTACTCCGACCCCATCTGGGAGGCCTAGCTGCACCGACCTTGCAGACGTGCTCCAGCAGATTTCTGCATGGATTTCTGGCGGTGCAAGACCCCGAAGCGGGGAGCGACGAACGACGCGAACTTCGCGAGGATTGTTGTTAGTCTTCATTCCTGACCAACGAAAATATCCGCACGAAGGTCACTCCGAAATCCGGGGCGAAATTCTCCAGGACACTCCGGGCCCATCCCATTGATGTCCGAACGAAATCCGCTCTGCGATGTTGGCGCCATGATAGATGGGCCAGACAGGCGAAGATGCAGGGCCGGGTGGCGACCTCCCTCCCAAGACGCCCTCGCTCTGGGAAAACAAACGTTTCGACGGAGGGCTCGTCGTTATATTCGGCCTCCAGGGGCCCTCACCGGGGCTCTGGGGCCGTCAACGAAACAACTCGGGACGACAAAGCGGTCCTGGGGAATGGGTCCAGACCTCTGGGGTCGACATTATGAAATTTATCCAGGCGAAGGACCCAACCATATGCAGTTGTGAATACCGCAATTGTGAATATCTTCTTCGGTGGTGCCCACGAACCGTATGAGGGGCGTGCCGACATGTGGCGGGGCACACGAGACGAAGGAAAACGATTTGTCTAGTTACGAGAGACTGAGCGCGGGTGAATCTGAGCACGAGTAAGTCCAAGTGTGAATGAGTCTGCGCGCGAGCGAATCTATTTGCACGAATGCGATCATGGCTACGCCACGTGTAAATGTATATGAATGTCAATGGTTCGGGTATGCATGTCTGTGCACTCGTGACACTGGCCGTGGCCGCCGCAGAAAGCTTCCGCGGGAACCCCGGCGGCAGCGCCCGCACGCCGCGACGCCCATGTCGGCACGCCCCTCACGAGGATCGCGCCCGCTTGCTTCCCTTCTTTTCCTCCCTCTTTGCCCGCGAACTCCAGAATCCAAAGCTGCGGGCGCAGCGCGGCGCGGAGTCCCCGCGACGTGCGCCGGTCGCCCCGGAATGGTCCCAGCGACGCGCGCGGGTCGTCCGCTGCGCGGAGCAAAGAGAGCTAGCTAGCTAGCTGGATGGGTGATAGCGGGCAAGGCTCTGACCGCTGGGCAAAGCGACGACGGGCGAGCGAGGCGCAGGGAAGAAAGCAGCACGGAGTTCCCGCGACGGAGCTCCCTATGGGGCCACGAAATGTGTGAGGGGTGTGCCGAAATCTGTGTGGGGCACGCATGCGGGCGGTGGCACTGGGGCCTTCGGTGGAGCTCCCTATGGGGCCACGACACGTGTGAGGGGTGTGCCGACATGGGTGTGGGGGACGCATGCGGGCGGTGGCACTGGGGCCTTCGGTGCAGCTCCCTATGGGGCCACGAAACGTGTGAGGGGTCTGCCGAAATGGGTGTGGGGCACGCATGCGGGCGGTGGCACTGGGGCCTTCGGTGGGGCTTCCTATTGAGCAACGAAACGTGCGGGGTGTGCCGAAATGGGTGTGGGGGACGCATGCGGGCGGTGGCACTGGGGCCTTCGGTGGAGCTCCCTGCGAGGCCACGGAACGTGTGAGGGGTCTGCCGAAATGGGTGTGGGGGACGCAAGCGGGGGGTGGCACTGGGACCTTCGGCGGAACTCCATATGGGACCACGGAACGTGTGAGGGGTGTGCCGACATGGGTGTGGGGGACGCATGCGGGCGGTGGTACTGGGGCCTTCGGTGGAGCTCCCTATGAGGCCACGAAGCGTGTGAGGGGTCTGCAGAAATGGGTGTGGGGCAAGCATGCGGGCGGTGGCACTGGGGCCTTCGGTGGGGCTCCCTATGAGGCCAGGAAGCGTGTGAGGGGTGTACCGAAATGTGTGTGGGGCACGCATGCGGGCGGTGGCACTGGGGCCTTCGGTGGAGCTCCCTATGGGGCCACGACACGTGTGAGGGGTGTGCCGACATGGGTGTGGGGGACGCATGCGGGCGGTGGCACTGGGGCCTTCGGTGCAGCTCCTATGGGGCCACGAAGCGTGTGAGGGTGTGCCGAAATGGGTGTGGGGCACGCATGCGGGCGGGCACTGGGGCCTTCGGTGGAGCTCCCTATGGGGCCACGACACGTGTGAGGGGTGTACCGAACTGGGTGTGGGGGACGCATGCGGGTGGTGGCACTGGGGCCTTCGGCGGAGCTCCCTATGGAGCCACGAAGTGTGTGAGGGGTGTGCCTAAATGGGTATGGGGGATGCATGCGGGCGGTGGCACTGGGGCCTTTGGTGGAGCTCCCTATGGGGCCACGAAACTTGTGAGGGGTGTGCCGAAATGTGTGGGGGACGCAACCGGGCGGTGGCACTGGGGCCTTCGGTGGAGCTCCCTGTGAGGCCACGAAACGTGTGAGGGGTGTGCCGACATGGGTGCGGGGGACGCATGCGGGCGGTGGCACTGGGGCCTTCGGTGGAGCTCCCTATGGGGCCACGAAACGTGTGAGGGGTGTGCCGACATGGGTGATGATGCTGGTGATGATGACAGTCGTGATGATGATGACGATGATGATGATGATGATGATGATGATGATGATGATGACGATGACGATGACGATGATGATGATGATGATGATGATGATGATGATGATGATGATATGATGATGATAATGGTGATGATGATGATGATGATGATGATGATGATGATGATGATGATGATGATGATGATGATGATGATGATGACGCTGATGATGATAATGATGATGATGATGACGATGATCATGATCATGATAATGATGATGATGATGCTGCTGATGATGCTGCTGATGATGCTGCTGCTGCTGCTGCTGCTGCTGATGATGATGATGATGATGATGATGATGATGATGATGATGATGATGATGATGATGATGATGATGATGATGATGATGATGATGACGGGAGGAGAGAGGAAGGAGGAGGAGGAGGAGGAGGAGGAGGAGGAGGAGGATGAGAGGAGGAGAGGAACGCGGGGCGATGTCTCTTCAAAACGAGGATCCAACACCACAGGATGGGTGGGACAACTCATGACATCGGGGGTCTGGGTCGGGCCCACCGTTGGAAATCCTGGCTGGGTGGCGGCATCCGAACCCCACCCCCGCCAGCCATCGCTTCTCTCCTGAGTCGATGGAGTGCGGGGATGGGGCTCGGATTTCGCCACGTGCTGGACGAGTTCCGCACTCCCCCCCCCCCCGCCCATCCATTTGCCCGACTCGTGGATCGGCGAGGGCAGAGATCGGACTTCGCCGCCGGAGGGCGTCCCCGGCAGCGCACCTCGTGCCTTCCGGGGGGGGGCCCGACTGCCGCGCGCCGCCAGGTATGGAGTCGACCATGCTCTCCGAGAGCAGGGCCACGGCCGCCGTGCTGACCAGGAGCAGGCCCAGGGCCCACGGCACGCTCAGCACGCCGTCCTCCGCGGCTTGGCGCGCAGGACACATGGCCCTGCACTCCAGGGCCCCCCCCCGAAAACCACGCCTGTACGCACACGCACACGCACACGCACACGCACACGCACACAGACACGCACACTCGCATTTACGTGCGCATGCACCTTCACACTCGCATTCGCATGCACTTTCACATTCACACGCATTCACACACACGCACACAGACACAGACATCGACACAGGCACAGGCACAGGCACAGACACACACACACATACACACTCATACACACAAACACACACACAAACACAAACACACACACAAACACACAAACACACACACAAACACACACACACAAACACACATACACACAAACACACACACACCAACACACACAACCACACAACCACACAAACATACACAACACACACAAGCACACACAAACACATACACAACACACAAACGCACGAATCCACGAACCCACAAACCCACAAACACACAAGCACGCAAACACACAAACACGCAAACACACAGACACACACGCACACGCACACACGCACACACGCACACACGCACACACGTACGCACGCACGCAAGCACGCACACACGCACACACACACACACGCACCCACGCACCCACGCACCCACGTACCCACCCGCGCACCCACAGACTAACCCACACACCCACGCACCCAAACACCCACACACTCACCCACCTACACACATATACACACACACGCAGACGCAGACACAGACCTAGACGCAGACGCAGACGCAGACGCAGACGCAGACGCGTACGCACACGCACACACGCACACGCACACGCGTACGCGTACGCACACAAACACACATTTCCTGAGGTCCGTGGGCCCCACTCCGCTTTCCCCGGCCCTGCACTTCAAATTTGCACAGGAAAGCGGATCCTGGTGTTCTACGGGGCCCTACATTTTTCGTTCCTCCCCCGGGAGACGGATAAAACAAGTCTGCACCACACCACCCCGACGTCGTCCCCAACCCCCAGAGAGTCCTGGGATTGAACAACAGCGCCCCGCTGGTAGTGTGTGCCGAGCACTGCGAAAGCTCTCAGGGTCCGCCTCCCCCAGGACCCCTGGCATGGTGGTGCGGGCGCCGACGCCGGCACCGACGACCGCCCCCTGCGCGGCTCGGGAGCTGCTGGAGGTGTCCGCTGTGAAGGGCCGACCGTCCCTGCATTCGCACAGGCCTACCACGAAATGCAGCTGGAAGAAAGAATTGGCGGCGAGCGAGGGGGGGGGGATATCATAAGAAGGAGAAGGCCTCCTCAGAAGGCGGCGGACTTCTCAGAAGCCCTCGCGCTTTCTGAGAAGTGTTCTGTGTCTTCGGGGAAGGCTTAGAAAACCTCCCAGAAGGCCTGGGGACTTCGGAGACTTCTTATCAGGCCCGCCCCTTCTCACTTCCCCTCCCCTCGCTCGCCGCCAAAAGAATCCCAACCAGACGACGCTGACGCCCGCGGCAGACCCACGGCAAACCCACCGCTTGTGGCCGAGGCGCTCTCCCCAAGACGGAAGGCCGCGCGTCGGAACAAACGGCGCGTCGACACAGGTTGTTGGAAGAAAAAATAATTCGGATAATAAATGCAATCTTCCCATAGCATCTGACCGGCCGACCCTGTCGGCGTGTGACAGGGGCTATTCCGTCGCCATCGCCGTCGCTGCCGCCGAAGCGTCACCGCCGCCATCACGTCCCTTCCTTCCCCCGAGTCCGTCGCCGCTCCCCCCTTTCCTTGGGCCCTCTTCCTCAAGCACGCCAGCCAAAGCGAAATGCACCAGCCCATCCACAGCGAAATTAAGCAACGTTGTCATTGAGTCGAAGGGGAGCCCCTTCCCTTTGTTACCTTCCCCGCGGATGGGGGAGGGGGTCCCGGGGGGTGGTCCAGGGTCAGAATACCACCATCCCGGGGCCCATGGCCCGCACTCTCCCTCCCATTTCCTTCGTGGGCAGAGGCCTCCAGGGTTGGCGGCACTGGCCGTCAGGCCTTAGCAACAAATGCAATGTTTTCATAGCAAATACCAACGGACTTAAGCAAACTGTCTCAGCCAGAGCTGTTCTAATAACATCTCGTGCAGACCACACAGGGTTCTCAGGACCTTCTCTGGTGGGCCTATCCCAGACCACCGACGTCATGACTTTTCATTACGTCGACCCCTGGAGGTCTCGACCCATTCCCCTGGACCGGTTTCTCATCCCGAATGGTTTTTTGACGGTCCCGAGGGCCGGTAAGGGCCCCCAGAGGCCGCAAATAACGAAAAACCTCCCGTCACGATTTTTTAATTGCCCAAGGGCGAGGGGGTCTGGGATTGGCGAGTCAGGATGCCTCGCCACTGCCCGAGTCCCTGGCCCCAGGTGTCCCCAGCTCTTGGTGGATTCTTTGGGGGCCCCAAAACCGTGTGGTGACAGACCCGGCGGTGACCTCGAAACCCGCAGAGACCTCACCGCACGGTCCGTCACCGCACGGTTTTGGGACCCTGGAGGCTCCAGTCGCCCGAGACATCCTCGGAGAACGACCGAAGTCCCAAAACCGTGCGGTGACCACGACTCTCCACCGACTCACCACGTGACCGTTTTCTTATTCGGCGTTTCGACACTGGGCGGAACGGGGGGGGGGGGACGACTGGCTCTGGACCTCTGCTTCGTGCGACCGTTTGCACAAGTGTGCCCATTGTGGGGGAGACTGCACCTGCTCGAAGCAGGCGCCCCCAAACGGCCAAGATCTACTCCAGTGGGGGGGAGGGGGGGGGGGGCGAGGGCCCGCGCCGATCGGCAAAACAATTGAGTAATAAGAACGAGCACCACGCGGTGTGGTCACCACCCCGTTTGTTGGGGGCCCCCGAATGCTGTGGCCCCCCCGGGGGGGCCCCCCCGGGGGTGCCCCCCGGGGGCTCTCCGGGAGGGGCGCCCCGGGAGTCCGCGGGGGGGCGGGGTTGCCTCCCTCTGGAGGCGCTGGGGACGCCCTGGGCCAAGGACCCTTCCTGCGCAGGGACCGACCGTCCCCGGCATCATCCCACGGGCCAGGCGTACGGCAAGCTCGCGTCGTGTCGACCCTGGCGTTGCTTCCTGACACCGCGGGGATCGTTCAACCTCTTGAACGATTGGCCGTTTCCGAGACGTCCAAGCCGTTCCACAGCGAACGATTCTGGGTCGCCCGCGGCATTCAACGTTGAACGCCGCTGGCGGGTTCGCCGCCAGTCGACACGGCACGAACCTACGGTACCACGACACGCCCTTTTCACTGCACCGACCTTGCAGACGTGCTGCATCGAACTTTTGCGGGAATTTCTGCCAATGCACAACCCCGAGACGGCGAGCGAAAAACGGAATGACTTCCACGTGGATTTTTGCAGCCTTCCCTGGCAAAAAAAATAAACCCGCGCGAAATCCGCTTCGAAATCCAGAGCGAACTTCTCCAAGACAATCTGGGCCCATCCCCACTGTTCTCCGAGCGAAAACCGCTCTGCGATGTTGGCGCGATGACCCTTTGATTGAAGGGGCCCCAAGACACACAAATAAATACACACAAATAAAGATATTCCCAATCTTTTCCTATATTTTCTCGGTTTTTGTCTTCCCCCCCCACTTCCCATATTTTCTTATATTTTCTGGGGAATCGACGATCAATTGTGTCTGTGTGTTTTTTCCTTCCTGAAAATGCTCGAACAAGGCTCGACCTGAGCAGTGTTTTCCGTGCTCGTTTTGTTTTCGTTTCTCCTCGTTCTGTCTTCGTTCCGCCTCTGTTGCAACACGAATTCACAGACGGAAGCGGTCCACGAGATCGCCAAAATACCGTTTGGGTCGAGCCCTGTGCTCGAATTGCGCTAGAAGCTCGACCACAGGAAACCCTCCACAAGGGATCCAACCCTGAGACCCCAGGATGTCCATTGGTTTTATGCATGGGGACGTCACGTTTTCCATCCTAGAACCATCGAAATCCAAGAAACCCAGGGCACCCTGGAGGCAGGCAGGGTGCTTCTTGGCATGGGCTTCCTCTGTATCAAAACAGCTATGCTCTCAGAACACCGGCCCGATGTATCAAAATCGTATCGTCCCAGCTGGACATGTTCCGAGAATGTGCCGTGCAAACTCCCAACGGTCCTTGGAACGTTCTTCGGTAGTCCTATACAGTCGGGGGCTTGACCTAAGGAACCCTAAATAAGGAACGAGGCCCCTTTTTTACCTAACAGCTCTTGCTGATAGGTTTCTAGTGGTCTCAAAAGAGAGCATCATGACTCCTCAGGGGGGTCTGGGCGGGACCCGGGAGCTGCCGCCGAAGCCGAAATCGCTTGGGACATCCTCGCAAAATCGCTCTTGGTGCTCCCAGAACTCCATTCCCGGGCCACATTTTGGATGCCCGGAGCCAACTGTAGGCCACTTCGTGCTCTTCGACTTCCCAGAACTCCATTCCCGGGCCACATTTTGGATGCCCGGAGCCAACTGTAGGCCACTTCGTGCTCTTCGATTTCCCAGAACTCCATTCCCGGGCCACATTTTGGATGCCCGGAGCCAACTGTAGGCCACTTCGTGTCTTCAAGTTCCCAGAACTCCATTCCTGGGCATGATTTTGAATGCCCGGAGCCAACTGTAGGCCACTTCGTGTTCTTCTAGTTCCCAGAACTCCATTCCTGGGCCACATTTTGAATGCTGAGGCAGGCTGATGCTGCGGCCGAGGCAGGCTGAGGCTGAGGCAGGCTGAGGCTGAGGCCGAGGCTGAAGGCAGACTGAGGCTGAGGCTGAAGCAGACTGAGGCTGAGGCTGAGGCAGGCTGAGGCTGAGGCTGAAGCAGGCTGATGCTGAGGCAGGCTGAGGCTGAGGCTGAGGCTGATGCAGGCTGAGGCTGAGGCAGGCTGAGGCTGAGGCCGAGGCTGAAGGCAGACTGAGGCTGAGGCTGAAGCAGGCTGAGGCTGAGGCTGAGGCAGGCTGAGGCTGAGGCAGGCTGAGGCTGAGGCTGAGGCAGGCTGAGGCTGAGGCTGTGACTGCGACTGCCGTTGCCGCTGCGACTGTCATCGCGAATGCGACTACGACTGCGAGAACAGCAGAATTCTACAACTGGATTTTCATCTGAATCTTAAGGGAAATGCTTTCAGATATGCTTCTACACATCGCTGTTAGGTTGCTTTGCCGGGATAATTCCATAAGTTGAACTTCGATTTCTGGTCGAAAACCTAAGGACAACCTGAGGCAAGCTGTGAAACACTCAAGGAACGCGGAGCCCCTCCCCAACGAAAAGGGTTTCTTCTTCAGAGCCCCGACTGTAGGCAAGTCAGGGCGCTTCGCCACCGCCTGGTTGTAGGTGGCCAAGGGGTCTGAGCTTGGTGGGCCCCGAGACAGTCGTCAAGATGGGGGGGGGCAAAGACAACGCCGCTCAAGATCAGTCCCCGGACCCTTCCAGGGGCCCATCTGGTGTGGTTTTTCCTACCAGATCCGTTTTCGACAAGCCTGGGGTCCGACAGTGGCCCCCAAATCCAGAAACAAACGAAAAGCTTCAACCCAGAAGCTCCAACCTCGCCCACCCTTCTTGCTGGTCGGAACCCACCATGCTGGGCCACCTCAGACTCCCAGCCGGCTCCAACTCTTGGCAGCACCCGCAGGGTGGTCTGCGTCCTCGTCTGGGCCGTGCGCGCTCGCGCGCGGCAGGTCGTCCGGCCCCGCCGAGGGGGGCGCCTCGGCGTCCGCCAGGCGGTCGGTGCTCTTCGGGTCGTCGCCGTCGTCGTCCTCGAACATCTCCACGTGGGTGCGCAGCTGGAAAACCAGGTACGCGACGTAGCCCACGCTGACGAAGACGGCGCTGGCGCGCGAGACGCCCACGGAGGCTCCCTCCGGCCTGCCGAGGGAGAACACCGTCGGGAACGAGAACGACATCACCCCAACCAGCAACATCGTGATGTTGATCAGCGCCGCGGCCCCCGAGAACCTCTGCTCCGGCTTCACCAGCCCGCCGGCGAAGAAGGACATGCCGAGGACGAGGAGAAGGTTCGACAGGATGGACCCGAGGAGGCTGCTCTTCACGATGTCGAGGAGCCCGCTGTTTATCGCGTTGACCGTGATGATCATCTCTACGGCGTTGCCGAAAGTGGCGTTGAGGAGCCCCCCCGTAGCCTGGCCCAGGTTCTCGGCTAGGTGCTCCGTGGCGTCCCCCAGCAGCTTCGCCAGGGGCACCAGCGCCAGGAAGCAGAGCCAGAACGTCGGGCACCTGGGCCAGCCCTGGTGCTCCCCCGCGAGCCCGAACGGGCCGGCGACGAGCAGCAGATTGATCGGGTCGCACAGCATGTCCCGCAGGATGTGGGCGCTCGTGGCTGAGCGGCCGTACCTCATGAGGGGGCCCAGGGACACACACAGATAAATGCACACAGATCCTAGGATTCCGGATCTTTTTTTCATGTTGTTAGGATTTTCGTCTTCCCCCCCACTTCCCACATTTTCCATATTTTCTGCGGAAGCGAAGATCATCTGTGTCTGTGTGGTTTTTCCCCTCCTGACCTCACAGCAATCGTGCTCCTCTTGATCGCGGGGACCAGCGCCAGTGCAGGCAGGGTCCGCTGGCTCCTGGCCGCGCGCCCGAGCGTGGGGAGGCTCTGGCGCCTCGGCACGGCACTCTGCACCAAGAGCGAAGAGGCCCGCAAGGGCTCCGAGAAACCCCGGGCAAAATCCCCCGATCCGCCCGCGTCTCTCGAAGAACGAACAGCTACACGAGCACAAACCACGCCCGTCGAGCAGGGACCGGCCGTCCCAGCATCTCTCTGTAGGCTGGCCGCGAACGGCTCCCAGAACCCGATCAGGTTCTGAGAGTCAGAGCAGTGTTCTGAGAACATCGAGCCGATGGATTGAAACAAGACGGTCCCAGCCAGAAAATGTTCTTAGAACATCTGTCGCCACGCCGTTTGTTCTCGACGAGCCCAGGTGGACGACGCCGACAGCACGGCAAACCCACGGCAAGCCCTGCGCCCCGTGCCCAAGGAGACGCAGCCGGCGCCGCGGCTAACCCCACGGCACGCCCTGCGCCCGAGGCGGCGTCTGCCCTGGCGGCCGAGGCGCCCTCCCCAACACGCAAGGCCGCGCGTCGGAACAAACGGCGCGGCGACACCTCGTGCAACCCCCGAGAGGTCCTCAGAACAGTCCCTGGTGGGCCCGCAGGCAAGCCGGAGCGCCTCGCCGCTGCTTGCGGTGGCCCTGCGCGGACTCCTTTGGGCTCGGCGCTGCCCCCCCCCCCCCCGCGCCCCCGGTGCGCGAGTTGCGCGGCACAGGGGGGGCGGAGCGCCGCAAGCGCCGACCGATGCACTCCGCGCGGGCCCCCGCAGGTGTTTGTGCCCCTCTGCCGTGCTTTTTGCTCTTCGAAGTGGGCGCCTCCAGGCCTCCTGGCTGGAGCCGGGTGCCGTCGCCGCGCTCTGCCAGACGGCCCCGCCCTGTGAGGAGGCCAGCACTGCGCCCGCGCCGATCCTGGCCAGGCCGCCCACCCTGGGCCCAGGATCGGTGCACGTGACGCCCTCCTGGCCTGGCCAGGGAGGCCTGGGCCCAGGAAGGACCTGGCCAGGATCGGCGCACGCCCGTCGTCGGGCTGCCCCGACCCACACCTCCGAGCCGAAGCCGGGCGTCGCCGTCCCGCTCTGCCAGGCGGCTCCGCCCGGGCCCTTCCGCGGCGCGACCGCGCCCTCGGCGCCGAGCCTCGGCGCCGAGCCTGCCGCGAGCAGCAGGGTCATCTGTGGGATCGGGGTCCAGCACGGGCCTGGAGTGGGCGGCGCCTGCCTTGAGGCTCTCAGAGTGGCTGCCGCGCGGGGCCGCGGAGGACGACGGCGACGGCCGCTGGCCGCAAGTGACCACGACAGGCGCGTGCGATTAGACCGCGCAGGGTTCGCTTGGGACCGGTGTGCTTTGAAAGCGGCCGAAGGCCCCCCAGAACCCGTCGAAAACCCTCCCAAAGGGTTTCTGGGAGGCTTTTCGGAGGGTTTCGGAACGGTTCTTGTCGTTCGGGGAGGAAGCCAGTCCCAGCGAACCCTGGGCTTTCTCAACACACGACAGGACATCTTGCCATCATGTATCTAGGGGCACATCTGTCGTCGAGCTTTGACTGCTTTGCGCTCCCTGAGGTGCCCCCAAGGCTCCAGTGGGCCCACCAGGACTCGGAGAAGGCTTCGGAAGCTTCCCTCCGACGACAGAGACGGCTTCTCAGAAGGCGGGAAGGGGGGCTTCTGAAATTTGAAAGGAAACATCGTTATAACCATTGTCTTTTGGAGCTCCGCGCGGATTTCTTGGATCTGCGGTGGACCCCCCTCCCTGATGCGCGGAGCGCGCCAGCAGCGGCGCCGGAGGCGCTGCCGGAAGGGCCCCATCGCCGATCCAAGAGATCCACGCGGAGCTCCGAGAGTTTATGTTGATGCCGCTTTTGTGCTTCGAGAGAAACCCCGACGCCTTCTGAGAAGGCCTGCCCCCTCTCAGATTGCCGCCCCTCGCCCTCCCGGGCTCGCCGCCGAAGCTCGGGCCGGGCGAAAGGAGGGGGGGATAGCAAAGGGGGGCTTTGAGAATCGGCTCACGTAGCTGATTTCCCCGGCGCCTCCCAGCGCCGGGAGGCGCCCACGCATCGAGGAATGGGCCCCTCGGTGGGGCCGAAACCAGCTGCATGCAGCAAATCTCGCACCCCCCCCTTTCCCCATCTTCCCCCCTTTCTTCCGGCCCGACCCTCGCCCTCACGGGCTCGCCGCCGAAGCGCTGCGGTCGGCTTCCGGCCGGGCCTTGGGCCCCGGCAGGGGCCCCCAAACCTTGTTCCCCACCCTTGGACGCCCGAAATGGGTACGGAAAGAATGGGTACAATGCCCAGCAGCAGTTCCTGTCCATTCTGAACAGGACTCGCTGTCGGTGTCGCCGCGGCCTGTGTCCATTTGAGACAGAAGGCCGCCTGCCCAACAGCGGCCGCTGTTGGTTTGGGACAACATTTGTTGTTGGGCATTGTACCGATTGTTTCCGTGCCCATTTCGGGCGTCTGCCACCGCTCCCGACTCTGCGGAGGGAGCGCCGGCGTCGGGAGCGTAGGGCAGGTTCGGGCGGCGTCGGCGCGCGCAGAGGTTTCTGAAGCCACGTCGATATCGTTCCGCCTTGAATCGATCGCGGCCCTGGTCGTTCCAGGTTGGATTCCGTCGGGTCCAGTGGCGTCACCGTGTCCCTCGGTGCTTGAATCCAACCTTGAACACCTTCGCCAGCGTCGCTGGCGCGCCATCGCCGCATGAAGCTACCGCATGCGCGCGCGCCTGCCCATAGAGGAACAAACATAAGACACGTAAACATCAGCTTTTGGAGGTCCGCGCAGCTTTCTCGGGTCGGCGCGGCCGCGTATCGAGGAAGATGTGTGGAGGCCAGGCTGAAGCCACCTGCGCGCAACAATTTTCGTCCCCCCCTTCTTCCCCTTCTTGTCTGCGGCAATACACATTCAACACAGCCTACCGCAGCCGGGCACGCGACCGTCGAACGGCATGGATTCGATGCCCTCTGAGGTTACTCTCTGTGCTCATGGGCGTTTCTAAACTCATCTGTATTCTTCTTCTCGGAACCTTGCTCAAACATTCTACGCTCGCCACCTCCTCTTTCTCTTCCTCCTCTTCTACGCTTCCCTCCTCCTCCTCCTCCTCCTCCTCCTCCTCGTCAATTATCAATCCTCCCTCCTCCTCGATCCTCGATTTCCTGGAGGAGGCTTGGGCAGTGCCCCCCAAACACTCGAGCTGGATCCAGCCGTGGCGACGAGGAGCCCCCCCTCTAGACTCTAGAGGGGGGGCTCCTCTAGAGTCTAGAGGTCTGAAAAAGGCCCAAACACTCCGAACGCCTCGACTTCCCATGATCTTCGAGGCCGAACGTGGCTCAGGTCCCTCCCTCCCCAAAGGCCTACGTGACTAGAGAAGAGTGCGTGGCTGGCGGAGCCGAACCCCTTTGGCGGCGCGCACAAGGGGAAGGAGGAGGAGGAGGAGGAGGAGGAGGAGGAGGAGGAGGAGGAGGAGGAGGAGCAGGAGGAGGAGGAGCAGGAGGAGCAGGAGGAGCAGGAGGAGGAGGAGGAGGAGGAGGAGGAGGAGGAGGAGGAGGAGGAGGAGAAGGTGGAGGGAGGGAGGAGGAGGAGGAGGAGAAGGAGGAGGAGGAGAGGAGGAGGGGGAGGAGCAGGAGGAGCAGGAGGAGCAGGAGGAGGAGGAGGAGGAGGAGGAGGAGGAGAGGAGGAGGAGGAGGAGGAGGAGGAGGAGGAGGAGGAGGAGGGGGCGGAGGAGGGGGAGGAGGCCCACTTCCCCGAGCCCCCTTGTGCGGCGCGCGCAAAGGGATGGCGTGAGGGGGAAGGGGGGGCACTCGAAGGAGGCGGGGTCTTCTTGGAAGACGAGAGCCTTCGGAGAAGGACCGGACGCTTCTGCGAAGGCTTCTCAGAAGCAACGGGGGGCCTCCAAGAAGATCCCTGCGGCAGGCTCGTGCCGTGACGACCCCGACGGTGGTTCTTGACACCGCGGGGATCGTTCAACCTTGAACGATCGGCCGTTTCCGAAACGTCAAATTGTTCAACATGGACCGATTCTGGGTCCCAGGTGGCGTTCAAAATTAAGCGCCGGCGGCAGGGTCGCCACCGGTCGACACGACGCGAACCTACCCTACCCTCTCAGAAGCCCCCCGTGCCTCCTTAGAAAGCACCCCCGACTCGCGTCACCCCCTTGTACCGTGCTCGCCGCCATCCCCGCCCTTTCGCCTGCAGCGCGACGGGGTCATAAGGATGCACGGTGAGGATGCATCGACCTAGGACGCACAAGTTGGGGCCTTCCCAGCGACCGCGGCAGACGACAATTGCTGCGGATGGGCCGAAGACTCACAGATGCAAGGGTGCCCTGGGAAGGCTGCAGTGAGGCTGACAAAGTGAAAGTTGGAAGCTCCACGAGAGTGAGAGTGGCCAGGGCTGGATGCACGAATGAGAGGGCGGCCGTGGAAAAAGCTCCTCCTCATCTCGGTCACCCGACTTCGCGCCTCACGCCCCGCGATGCGCAAAGCTACCTGCAAGTCGGGCATGACCTCCTGCAGGCAGATCATGGACGAAAGAGGACAGCAATCAGAGAACGCATCCAAGCATAGCCACCGCCGAAACATCGGCCCCAGACGATTTTGTTTTGACTCTGCCTGCATGTGTCCCCCTGTGGAGGGGCCTGCCCGACGCAAAGTGCCCTTCGCCCCTTCGCGCCGCGGGCCCCGGAGGGGGGCGCCCGCGCAGACCCGAGGGCCGCGAGGCGTGGCGCTCGGCGAGAAGCTTCGCGCCGCCGCGGGTCACCCACGCACACCGGAGCTTCACGGCTGCAGCCTGAGACAGCGTGCTCCGAGTCCCACCAGCCCTCTGGGCGTCGGTGGCTTAGGGAGTTCCCTCTTCCACCCCTCCTTCTTCCCCTTCGGGGAGGGGTTTACCCCTCCCCCCTGGACCTGGACAGGGGGTTCCGCGAGGTGTCGGAGCGTCCAAGACAACGTACTCCAAGTTGCTTGATAAGCTCAAGGCGGGCGTGTCATTCTACTTGTACAGGAGGAGTATCCAAAAATAGTCAACAAATAGACTGGGGACGATTCTTCTACAATCTTTGACTATTTTCGAGTATTTCTTGTAACGTCCAAAATAAGCCTGTAGGAGGACATGCCCGATCTAATAATAAGCGTCGGGGGGGGCGTTATCCCCGCCGACAGCCTCACACCGACCCCCGTCGCGGGCAGCCACCGCGCGCCGAAGGCGCTCCGAACCCCGTCGCGGCGCGACGACGAGGCGAGGTTGACCCCCGTCGTCCCCCCCACGCTTATTGAGAAACCCAGAGTGCAGTCAACCCGTAGAGTGAGGATGCGCGATAAGGGTGCAAGGGCCTTGGAGGCCCACTTCGAAGCTTTTCAAGCGGGACGCAGCCAGCGAAAGTGGCCGTGGATGGACCGCGGAGGCAAGGATGCAAGTGTACCCTTGGGAAGGTTGCCCATCCTTACTATGCGGGATGACTGTACTCTGCAAGCTCATTTTTTAACTCACGGTCCTAGTCTGGAAACTCTAAACAATGTGTGGACTTGAAGATGCACAACGCACACTAGAGGCCTCCTGGGTGGGGTCGGAGTGACTGGGGTCGGAGCATCGCGCCGCATGGCCGATGCATCGGTGCTGCACCGCCGATGCATTGCCGATGCATCGGCGCCGTCGGCGTTGCATCGGCGCCGTCGGCGTGGAGGAAATCGGGCTCCACATCGAGCCGCATCGCCGATGCCTCGGCGATGCGGTGCGATCCTCCGACCCCGTCCACTCCGACCCCATCTAGGAGGCCCAGACCAACGGGGCCCGCCTCCGCGCCTCCAAGGAGATGGCCGGCGGGCCGCTCAGCGGCGGGGAGGAGGAGGAGGGGGAGGAGGAGGAGGAGGAGGAGGGGGAGGAGGAGAAGGAGGAGGAGGAGGAGGAGGAGGAGGGAGGGGGAGGAGGGAGGAGGAGGAGGAGGAGGAGGAGGAGGAGGAGGAGGAGAGGAGGAGAGGAGGAGGAGGGAGAGGAGGAGGAGGAGGAGGAGGAGGAGGAGGAGGAGGAGGAGGAGGAGGAGGAGAGGTGGAGGAGGAGGAGGAGGAGGAGGAGGAGGAGGAGGAGGAGGAGAAGGTGGAGGAGGAGGAGGAGGAGGAGGAGGAGGAGGAGGAGGAAAACCCGAGGGCCCGCCCCCGCGCCGCCTCTCGCCCGCCCGGGCGCCTCCGACCCCGCCGGCCCCCTGGCGCCGCCCGCGCCCGCGCCGGCGTCTGGGCCGGAGCACGGGCGGCGGCGC